CCATTGATATGGCGAAACAAATGTATTACCAGAATATGATTGCTGAAAACAAGGGAAACCCCAAGTCTACATGGCGAATTGTGAATCAAATTGCATCCTCTAAAAACAAGTTAAGGCATAATATTGACGAAATCCATCTGGAAAATGGCAGTATTATTAATGATAGTCATTCGATTGCACAAGAATTCAATCAGTACTTTTCCACTGTCGGATCTAATCTTTCTAAACAATTCCCCAATGACATGGAGGGGTTTAGAAAGTATCTTGACAAGCGGATAAGCAATTCCATATTTCTGAATCCCACAACAGTGAATGAATTAACAGCTGAAATCATAAGTCTTAAGGATGGTAAGGCAGTTGGGGCTGACAACATCCAGAGCCGCTTTCTCAAGTATGTTGCTGATATCATAGCTCCATGTCTGACAAAGTTTTTCAATAGTTCACTTCAGTTGGGAATATTTCCATCTTCATTGAAAATCGCGAGAGTAGTTCCAATCTTCAAGTCTGGCAATACAAAACAAGTGTCAAATTATAGGCCTATTTCGATTCTTTCTGCCTTAGACAAGGTATTCGAACGCTTGATACATAAACGACTAATGAACTTTCTCAGAAAGCACGAGATACTGAATAAATCACAATTTGGTTTTCAAAGCGAACATTCTACTTCACATGCGATTCTTGACACAATATCTCACATCTATGATAAACTAGAAAACAAAGAATATGTCAGTGCAACCTTCTTAGATCTTAAAAAAGCCTTCGATACTGTTGATCACCAAATTTTAATACATAAACTGTGGCACTACGGTATTAGAGGTGTGGCTAACAAACTTTTTGCCGATTACTTGACCAACAGATCACAATATGTACAAATGGGTTTTTATTGTTCACCCACCTTACCTGTGACCCACGGAGTCCCACAGGGATCGTGCTTGGGACCGACTTTATTTTTAATATTCATCAACGATCTTGCTCGAAGCACCACATTATTTTCGAAATTGTTCGCGGACGATACAAATCTGCTTGATAGTGATAAATCCCCTGAAGTACTCCAATCAAGAGCGAACGCTGAAATTGAAAAAGTTGCAAATTGGATAAAACTCAACAAACTAACTCTAAATGTAGATAAATCGAAAACCATGCTGATATCACCAATTAAAAACAAACCCCCACATGATTTGAAAATTGAGATAGGGGGCTCTGTTCTTGAAACTGTCAATTCCTATAAATATCTAGGCATCTTCATTGACAATAAAATGCAATGGGATATTCAAATATCTAACATTGCAATTAAATTATCCAAATCAGTAGGAATGATGTATAGACTTAGACGATATACATCAGCGTCAACATTACGCATGGTCTACCATTCATTGGTTCAGTCACATTTGCAATACGGTATTATAGCATGGGGATCAGCTAACAGAACCTCATTGCATCGAGTAGAAATTATGCAAAATAGGGCTATCCGTGCTATTACTAACGCTGGATATAGGTCGAAACTAGACCCCCACTATTATAACATGAAAATAGTCAAAATGGCAGATATATATAAAATTGAGATACTGAAAATCATGCACCAGCATCACAATAATAAATTGCCTGTTGCATTCACTAAATATTTTGTTAAGCAAAGCAGTATCCACTCATATGCAACTCGATCTTCTGCTAATAGCTCATATTATGTTTCTCGTTACTCTTCAAGTCATACACAAAACAGTATCAAATGCATCGGTGTGAAACTATGGAACACACTGCCCAATTCAATTCGTTCCAAAAATTATAACTTATTTAAACAAATGTTGAAAAATCTTCACCTTGATGCTTATATATGTCAGTAATTTCCCAGTTGTTATACCATTTAGGCTTGTTGTCAAGTTTACCCCTTTCTTCGAAATCATAAAATATATATGTCAGTATGTTGTCTTCATGTGCTCTATGTAATATTTCAACAAAGCTGCAATGCTACTAGCATTGCCAATACTGCAGTATCAATTCTCATATCTATTGATGTATAATCTTAAATTTTATGAACTTCTGAAAGCACTAAATCAATAATAATGATAACACTTTACACTTACAGACTTGGGCATGTGGCTCTGCCATTACTGCATTACATGAATGCATAAGTCTGTACAGCTATAAGTACGTTAATCTAAAGGCATATTATTGAATATTTTTAATATTATTATCTTATCATCCATGCCTTTTCATCTCACATTATGTAGTGTTGCTTACTTCCTCTGTCGATATAATCATTTCACTTGTCAAATTTAAATATTATTGATGTCTCTTTAACTCATATAACGAATTCTCCCCTTTTCTGGTTGCTAACTAGTAACTACGCTATACGGCGTCATGTTAGTCATGAAATTTCTCTGTTGTTTTTACGCTCACCCGAGCATGACATTATAAAGCAAAACTGACTTAATCAGTCACTCTTTCCCGATTGACTTGCATCATATTTACTTTTTATTTCCTGAATTAAATTCGCTCAGCAAGTCATGATGATATCATCCAATTCATATTTTTTTTTTTTTTTTTACATTTATTCAATGTCATCTGTTCATCAATAAATCAACACGGTGTCGTTGACACGATGACTTTTGCAGTCTTTCGCGGCTCCGCGTCAATTGCGATATATTGTATGCATGTATACTTCAGTCTTCAATTGATTTTTGTATTATCATTATAATTGTTTAATTGCGTACAATATTTCATGCACGACGAAATAAAACTTCTGAGTTCTGAGTTCTGAGTTCAAAATGACTGTGGATCAGCACAACAGAGCAAAACGGAATGGAGATATCGGATGCACCGACTGTTATTTCACCAAAAGAATAATCGATGGACGTTATTTTAAAAGCGGATCAAAAAGTTTGAAAGATCTAATTGTACATGGAAGCAGTGAGTTGAGACAGCATCTAATATTTCCCTATCTTGTAGAAAAGGGAGAGCAGCATTTTGTCATATTATATTATTCGACCGATTTGAAGATTTGCACTATTATCAATTCCATCAGACCATACGATAAAATTTTATACAAAACAATTCAATCACAATTCATCCCATTTCTTCGTCAATTGGCAAATGTGCAATACATTAAATTAGAACAAGAATGCATAATTGAGCAGAAAGACGGTAGTTCCTGTGGAGTCTGTGCATGTGCGGCTGCCGAATTTATTTGTACGGGGGAAAAGTTCAATATTTCTACTGATGATTTCAGGCATTGGATTGTATATTTTCTGTTCGAAAACTCAACCAATGCATATCTCTTGAATGGTCAAAAAAACGAAAAGCCTATATTTAAAACTGTCGGATTGGTAAATAAATGGAACAACTGTTGGGCAAATTGTTGCTTACAGGCTTTAAATTATCTCCTAAGAAACTCTCGAATGGCAAGCGATGACGTGCCAGAATTCAATAACCTTGTAGGAAATGCAATTATGATACTCCGAACAATGTCCACAGGGCATCAAGTGTCGGATATTTCTATCACAAATTTATTGAAGAGAGTTTGTACAGAAAAGATGTGGACCTATGGACAAGAACAGGACGCTGCCGAGTTTCTATTTCAGACAGTGCTATTCAATATATGTCCGCTTTACGGGAAGGTTACAACCCTGCAACTATCGACAATACGCTTGTGTAAAAAGTGCCCATATAGGACACATAATATAGTTTCACAAAATCATTTAATATTACCAATGCCAGAAACTATCGCCGACAGTGCTTATTTACAAATTTATTTAAAAGATTACACATACGCATGGGAAAACTGGAAATGCCCCGAATGCAAAAAGAAATCAAGAGCAGAATGCAAAATCAATATCAATTCAACACCGGATATTTTGACAATTTGTCTTGCTCGAGGAACAAGACAAGGAATGAAAAATCATAAAAAAGTTTTCCCCAATCCCGAAATATCCATTTTTGATAATTCGCGGAATCAAAATGTCAAATACGATCTAGCTAGTGTTATTGTACACCGGGGTGAAAATAATGATACTGGAGGATCCCACTACGTGACTTACATATATTCTGACAATTCAACAATCTTGTGTGATGATCTGAATATTGGAGATCAGATATTATTCGATCCGGAGGATCCAGGCGATGATATAGCCAGGGGAGGGTATATATATTTTTATGAAAAACAGCTTAATACGCTAAAGTAGGAAGTGCATCAATTGTAACTCCAATTACGTATATCTGAAAGATTTCCAAGCTGATAGAACATCCTTCCTGAAGTTATTTAAAGAATTGAGCACAATTTTTCGCTACATCGAATTGGATATGGTCGTTTTTTCATAATCGTAACTATGACTAGGTAATTATCGGACATTTCATGCTGTGCTGGCTTTACTAATGATATTTTGAAAATGTAACCAATTCTTTGTGTTACTGTATTAGATTTCACGTTCATAAATCATATTGAAACTTTTCCTTTAATACACAATATTTCGTTTCAGCTAAATTGCTTTGTCATTTTTAATAGTCTTAAATTTCGCTTAGTAAATATCGTAAATTTCAATAAGTTATGTTGGCTATTAAAATATTTATTTGAATATTTAACTAATTTTATGTGTTACTACATTGGATTCCACATTCAGAAATCATGTTGAAACTTTTCCTTCAATGCACCTTTTTCAATAGAGCGACTTGGATACGATCGTTTTGTTATAATCTTAACTTTCATATTGAAACTAATCGTCGTCTAACATGTTTTGACATTAACTGTAAATTTGTTAAATGTATTTTACTCGATAAATTTGAAAATTTCATTTTTTTTATGTTGATAATGTAATAAACGCGTTTTTACAAAATATCATTATGTAATATTATTCGATTTCGTCCCGAGAAATCGCCAGATGTTGCTTGTTGATGTCGTATCCCAAATGTGGCAACTGATGTTTTTTCCGCTATGACACCCGGATTTAAAGTTGTATTTTTTGTGCTGAAATTGTGGCAAGATGACACCGGTGAATATTCAGTTCATCATGTTATTTTGTGATCTACCTATGGATTCTTTGTTTACGTCACAATTCCGCTGATTTTCAAGATTTATCCAAAAATCGTCTTTGAAGGATTATTTCTCAACAGAGTCTGCCCACCTGTATGGTTACTGAAGCTGAACAAACCAGACAAAGTAAGACTTTCTACAAGACGTTTGTATGAGTGAGTGCTTCTGAATGAGAGAGAGAGAGATTTATTGTTTTGTCAACCGTAAACGAACAATGGTATACAATACACAGAGTTAATTCGGTATAGACTGGGGGGAGCGATACGACCATAAGGTCATCGGAGTCAGCTCCCCCCAAGTTCACTATTAGGATTCACAGTTGAATGTATATAAATAAGAAATAAAATAAAAAAGATACTCATTGGAGAGTTGACCAGAACTCTTACAGAATATTTTTGAGATTAGGCTATAAGATGGTTTGATCAATGGCATTTTCAGCTTTTAGGGGTGGGGTTTGACTCGTCTCCTAGTAGGTCCATTTCATAACATTTTTTTGTTTTGCATGCAATGTAGGAGACTATCTAATAAATACAATACTTATGTATTAAGCTGGTTGAATATTGTTCGTCACATCAAAAATTTCTACTGAAAGATAGAAGCCAGAACATACCAGTGGATATGGTAACTGCCTGAGGCTTGAAATAAGCGATAATTGGAGTGATATAACAGTTAATACATGTATGATTAGGGGAAGATCGAGGACCTTGAAAATTAATCATGAAGCAAATTCTCCAGTCCAGTCTCGGATGATTTCATACTTTGCCAAGATACATTAAATTCAATTGGGCTTCAAATGACAACATGTACAAATCACTTTGCTTGAAATATACATGGCAGAAAATTTTCACTATTAAGACATGCAACGACAAGAACAATATGATACAAAGATGGAAAACTTGATAATGTGACTATTTGATTACAATATTATATTCATAGTGCTTATAATGAAATTGCTTATTATATCATTCTTTATAAATAGTACCTTACAGTTTGCTGAACAAATAATCACTATTAATAAATAAATAAATGCCCTTTATTTCAATCCAGAGTGTATCTGTTGGCATTTATTCCTAATCTAGTAAGGATGAAGGGTACACAGAGAGAAAGAAATGAATTATATTTCGGAAGGCATACTAAAAAATGTACGTCCAGCGAACTGAATATTCGAAATCGGATCAAAAACGATTCGAATTGTTTTTGGCCAATATTATCTACATAAAGCGGAAATATCCTCACGACCCGATATTTCTCTAGCCTTCATATTGCGATGAAAAAGGGTGTCTCTCCTAATGCCGAGGGTATATATCATGCGTGGTCATGACTGACAAGTTATTATTGGCAGTATATGTTTAGAGAGAGTACATAAGGGAAGAAGAGCAATTTAGTATCCATAGGAAAAGATAGTTCCATCAATGCAAATCAATTCGAACATTCCAAGTCAGTAATCGGGAAGCACACATTGTGGAGGTTTTATGATGGCAATACTTAGTATTAACCATCTATTAACAAGACAAATAACTGCACTCTTGCATTCTGATGGCTGGTACAGTAACAATAGGTTCATCTAGGGATATTATCATCATCAAACTAGCTACATTTTTGAAATTTTTGGGCAACAGTTTTATTTATATTAATGTTTATTAAAAAATTGCACAAATTTAGACTAGTGATAACAGGGTTAAAAGAGTATATACAGGCCACACATGCCCTATTGAAACTGAATATATAAGAATTGGGTAAATAAGGTATTGGGAGTCTCTGTAATTTTCAACTTTCAACACTCATATTTTAGGGAGGCATGTGATTTCCATACTCCATTGATAACTCTGGAAACATAGTTATACAAAATATCATCAGTATCATTTTAAATGTAACAGCATAATACGTTATTACAATATCGAAATAGGATTTTTGGAGGATATTCGTTTCGACAAATTATACGATTCGAATCAAACAATTATTCGATTTTGGACAGCCTCATGGAGTAAAAATAAATAAATAAAAATAAATTAAAAATCTAATGAAACATTTGATATTGCAAATATCAATCCTAGACAGAGTATGGCTAGGTCATTTTAGAGAAAATTGGACATTCAAGAAGATTTCAATCTTGTTATTTTCAACATGTAAATATAATAATGTAGCTATGCAAGCAATGCAATAATCGAATGATGTATAAAATCTGATTGAATAATTTTGGAGTAAACTTTCGAATAAATCTCATTTATAGAAATGCAATTTTAAAGAGAAACAGTACAACAGTCAATAAACATTTAAGATAATTTTACAAAAGATTGTAAACATATAAGTCTATTGGAAAACAAAAATAATTAAAGTAAGCATCGTATTTAAGTCTTGGCATAGTAAATAATATATTAAAGTCGGTACTACACATTGCAGGGCATACAGATGCTGAAGTCATCAATAGTTTAAGGTATTGACTATTGATCCAAGGTTACGATTAATCATAGGGATGTTAGAACTGCTCCTGTTACTATTGGCTCAGTCCTACAAAAAATTTTGAAATACGCAGTGTCAATACTAGCAGCATATGCAGACACATTACCAATCATATAGATTAATGGATGATGATCGAATAAAACAGCATTTCAGAATATGAAATATTAAAAGCATGGTGTTTGGGGTTGCACACAGTGTAATTGTAATTATAATATGAATATATATGAACAAAATGCATTGATTCATAGATTAAATTTAAGGTTAGGACATAGTGATATCATGACAAATGCACACTATAGGAAATAGTACACAAAGCATATGATTTCAGTTGACCACGTTGCAGAATCATCTTATTTTTGGCAGAAGTAAAGTGAATACGGTAAAGATATAGATATATACATGCATAGCTCAGATATAATTCTACTAATGGTTTGTAAAGATTGGGAGAAGCAGACCAAACACAAGAACAATAGTAAATATATTTGTTCCTGGATCTTGAAATAATGTATAGTGAAAAATAAGTTGATCTAGATGTTATACTGTACACGGTGTAAAAGTAGGGTCATGAAATAAATAGTTTAACCTTGGTCAAAAAATGTGAATGCACAAAATGGGGGTGAAATTGTTATTATTGAAAATGACTTTCAGGAAACTTAATTATAGAATATGCAATGTTAACACAAACAGTATAAGCAGATACATAGTATTCCTAATCACATAAATTCAGGATTGCACACAGTATACAATTATGATGAACACTGTTCATTGAAATGTTTACATTTCAAGGTTAGAGCTTTATGGCCATTTTAACAAATGCAAGCTATAGGTAATTATCAGTTGTAGGTAATACTACATCATGTTTTGCCAATAGTTAAAGAAAATAAAATGAAAAAACAAATAGTTATGCAAGCACATGTAAATTACAGGATTTAATACCAAAAAGACATGGTAATCAATAAAAACAGTTATATAAACTCCCTACCATATAAGTCCCAAGATCAACCAATCAAATCCAACGGTGTGTGGGACAGCATACAAACGGTTGGTTGGATGATTAGGGTATTAACCTTTGGGGAACTTTATGACGCAGTTATTAATAAATGTCTGATATTAATATTTATCGATGAGATGTTTCATATATTTATACTTAAAACTATTGTATGATGATTCTTTGATATTGTCAGGAATACTGTTCCAAATACATGGACCAGTGAATTTTATGGATCTCTGAGCCAAATTTGAGCTTGTTCTATTAACAAAATAGGCTCCTCTACCAGCCGACCGAGTATTATGTCCATGGATATCACTAGAGTTTGTGAAGTAGTTTTCAAATGCATCCGGCAAAATACCACATTTAGATCGAAACATAAATTTCGCAACTTCCAATTTATATACATCCGCAAGTTTGAGAATACTCATCTGTCTGTATATAGGATCTAAGCTTTCACGCATACGTGCGCCACTCATTAATCTTAGGGCACGATTTTGAAGTACACAAATCCTATTGAGATAAGTTTTACAAGCAGAGCCCCATGCCACAATTCCATATTGTAAATGGGAATAGAAGAGTGAAAAATACACAGTTTTTAAAACTTTTTTTGGTACAAATTTTTTTAATTTAGTCATGGCCCCAATTGCCCTTGAAAGCCGACCAGCTAGTTGGTTGATATGTGCTTGCCAATCGAGTTTTTTATCCAGGATGACTCCAAGGTATTTTACACAATCATGGTTAGTCAATTCAAAATCGTTTAGAGTGAACTTAGGGTTGTAATTGGAATTTTTAAGCTTTTTGAAACAATTAATTAGTAAGACTTGCGTCTTGTTGGGATTAACGGTGAGTTTGTTGTGAGTGAGCCAATCAGAAATATTATGAAGTTCAACATTAACTTTTAGTTCCAAGTCGGACAGATTCCTTAAGTGCCTTGAGTGCCCCTTGAGTGCTCCTTGAGTGCCCATAACTTTGCTCAGAGATTAGTCTCCTTATTTGGGTGTGTGCAAGTAATTTTGCTCAGAGATGAGTCTTCTTTACTTCTGAGTGAGCACCCGTAACTTTGCTCTGAAATGAGTCTTCTTTACTTCTGAGTGGGTGCCTGAAACTTTGCTCAGAGATGAGTCTCCTTTACTTCTGAGTGAGTACCCGTAACTTTGCTCAGAGAAAAGTCTCCTTCACTTTTGAGTGAGTACCCGTAATTTTGCTCAGAGATAAGTCTTCTTTATTTCTGAGTGACTATATCTGTAACTTAGCTCAGAGATGAGTCTCTTTTACTTTTGAGTACCTGTAACATTGCTCAGAGATGGAGTCTTCTGTACTTATGACTATGAGTACCTGTAACATTGCTCAGAGACGAGTCTCTTTTACTTCATAGTGAATGCGTTTTCTCAGAGATAAGTCTCCTTTGCTTCTAAGTGAGGGCCCGTAAGTTACGGGCCGTAACTTTGTTCAGATATTAGTCTCTTTTACTTCTGAGTAAGTGACCTTAATAACTCCGATCAGTAATATGTCCCTTCACTTATGAGTAAATGCACTAAACCTTGCTTCAACCAGATCCCCTTATTATAGTGATCAATTCCTAACTCTTAAATTTTCTTCTTTTACTTCAGGCCTACAATCTTAAAGAGAGCAAGAACTGCTATGTGAGGTCTTCGAGTGGAAGTACTTTAGGCGTTTGGCATATTCCGCCAGTCACTCAGTACGATACTCCAGAGGTCAAATCAGGGTCATTACAAGACGCTGAGAAAATCATCATTTATTGCCATGGCAACTCGTTTCATCGTGGTTTCAAGCATCGAAGAGATTTATATTCAGAGCTGCAGAAATCAGGTATGAATAATATGGTCGAATTCTTTTTGTCAAACTCAAAGGTACTCGGAGCCGCAACATTTACTCTAATGTCAGTGGCTATTAAAACTACCGAAAACAACTTATGATGCAATAATTCAGTTTCTGACAAAATAAAAATAACTTGAAATTAAAAAGAAAAAGTTTGTTTAGACATAATTGAATCACTTTGATGCGACCTATTGTTCCGCTCACGACTTATATCTGTTGTCATGTGTAATTAGTGAGTAGTAATAGACTTTATGTCTCCGACTTTCATTGAATCCCCACGGCTTCTAACAAAAAACGGCTGTTGCCACTTTGATTCATGGGAGCCAGAGCTCCGAAAACAGAGAGTCGCATGCTGCTGATCGCTGGTCTACCTTGACTAATTGTGAGACAGCGTTGGTAAATTAGTTGAGCTAGAATATTGCATCATAAGTGGTTTTTCGATAGTTCTAATAGTATCTGACATTAGAGTACATGTTGCGGCTCGAGTAGGTTTGAGTTTGGCATAAATGTTACATTTTATGAACAATATATACAGTGTTACAAAAGTGAAAAACAATAAGCCTCGTGCCAAAACTACATTTAATCCCAATCTCAACAAATTCCTATTTTTCACTAGAACATCAAAATTTGGTTTTATTTCAGTTGTGGCAGCATCAGGCAGGCCAGATTGAATAACCCAACGGGCCAGATTTAGCTTGCGTAGTTTGCCCATGTCAGGGGTAGACGATGCCATATGGCTCTTTCGATGCCAAATGTTGCCGAATCGTGGCCTAGGCCAGGGCTACTCAGCTATTTGTTTAAAATTATTTGGGTCCGGTCTTTACAGAAATTGTGTTTCGGCATCCTTAAACGCACACTTCCTCGGCCGGCTAATGATTATTAGCAAATCAAGATTGTTTATTATGATGTAAGGTATTTTCATATATATTCGAAACTATAAAATTCATTTTATAAAAGAAAACTTCAAAAGTGGGGCTAATGATTCAAAATAAAGAATTAGGTGCGGTCCGAATCAAATACTCGAAAAGTCCGGATTCGGACCGCGGTCCGCCAGTTGAGTAGCCCTGGCCTAGACATGTCAGTGGACATAACGATCGCTTCAATATTATGTTGTTGTTTTTCGTCATCATTATCATTAAAAAATCGTTTTTTTCTTCGAATACTGGACCAGTTGCTTTGAAATTTTCAGTGGTTAATAAAGATTGATATTTTTACCAGAAGGCTATTACGGTACTTTTATTTATTCCTAAATTTTCTATGGATCTTATGAGATCTAATATTTTATCCAAAATTGTGCTGTATTACTTTTTAATTATGGGAACACGGTTTTTAATCCGCCAAGCGTGACGGCTGACTGTGAAAATTCTTGCGACTGAAAACTCGGAAGTATTTTGAGGTTACGGTATCAATAACGTCAAAGGTAAGGACTGCCTCGCTCTGGTCCACGTGTCCATATATTTGAGCGTTGCTCTCCTGTTGTATCAATCTGCTCATTCACACAAATAAAATCTTTTTCATTTTCACCAAGGATTCCACATCATAGCTTTTGACTACAGTGGATTTGCGGACTCTACCGGTCAGCCGAGTCCAACAAGAGTCGTGGAAGATGCAATTAGCGTGTATAAGTGGACGGTCAAGCAGGTTGGATTATGTTTTATCATATTTGTCACTGCTTAATCATATGGAGAATATCAGCAAAGGTATACCATATATAAATTGTATATAAGCACAGTTTAAACTAAAAAAAAAAGTTCCCAAACTAAAGGGTTGGCTTATATGCGCCTCACTCTAATCACACTAAATTTCGGCTTTATAAGCGCATAACCCTGATCGTGCGGGGGTCAACTTATACATTCATAACACAGTTGCCTGTCAATAGGGAATTCCCCTTTATGTTATTCCCCTGATTACCAAGTTATAAAAATCGAATCAGTAATTGTCAAATTTCTGACACTTAATGTATTTAATCACTCAGCTCCAGAAAGAAGATGTGACAATCGTGCTTTGGGGTCATTCACTCGGCACTTACATCAGCACGAGGGCGCTATCGCTCATGTACGACCAGAAAGATGGCACTCGACTCCCTGACTGTCTGATACTTTAAGCTCCGTTCACGAATACATATGATGCCGCAGACTGCTTCCCACTATCTAAGGTGAAATTTATATTTTGTTTCATTTCAGTACTCCCGTAGCATGTGAACCAAGATGGCGGACATCTGAACGAAGTATGTGTACCAGGTTAGGTTTAAGCAATGATTTCAGGTACAAATACTACAAAGTCACTTGGCTAGTCCCCGAACTCGTAATAGAACTAAAATAAGGAAAATTGGAATAAAATTATGGACTAACCCTAACCTGGTACACATACTACGTTCTGGTGGCCGCCATCTTGGTGCACATACTACGGGAGTATGTTCATTTCAATGATGTGATATAGTATTATGTGATGCTTATTAACGCTTTTTTCATGTGCAAGGCCAGGCACCAGTAGCAACAGATACTCGTATCTAACGATATGCTAGGATATACTATCTTTTGGAGGGGCTGAAATCTTTCCAGTTTGGTCCTTGTTAACAGAATTCTGTTAATTTTTGCGAACACTTATTAACTAGTTGCTGATCACTCTTTGGGGACCTCTGTACTATGCCATTGTGGTAGTGCGCCAAGACTTTTGAATTGAATAACATCTAAAAATTGTATTTATTACATCTCTCTTTCAGTATTTCTATCGGCTCTATCCCTTCATGAGGTCTCAGGTTCACAAGAATATCAAACAATATGACATTGAGCTCAGGACTGAGAAGTATCTGCCGACAATAAAGGCTCCTGTTATGATTTTACATGCTAAAGATGATCAGAGGTATGTAGGCAGAAATAATTGAAAGGTATGGCTTGCCAGTCAGTGTATCGTCCTAAGCGTAATTAACACGCTTACGTGGCGCTCCTCAAGAGTTCACAGGTTCAAAACATGTTATTTATGAGAATATGGCTTGCAGAACTGTTTACTGTCGTAAGATGGTTCATGTAACCTCTATCATCAAGTTATGTCTCGTAAATTCATCATCTAACATTTACAATATTTACTGGTACGGTCTTACAGTACGGTATTTAATATAAGTTTATTTTGACTCCTCAGCATAACAAGCAATATAATACCCTAATTGTCAGATTGATTTAAACAAAATAAATAACCGATTAGCTCCTTTTTCGGCTTTTATGACATCATAAGTACGCGTATTTGACCCATGCGAGGTGCAGTCTGCCCAATTATGAAGTATGTATGACTACTTGTAAGTATAATATTCGCATTTTAAACGGATTTTTCTTTTCGGTGAACCTATTCTTGAGCAGATATATTGCAGCAAGTTGCATAATGATTGCACAACTTTAAAAAAAATCGAAAGTCGGGAAGGGGGAAGAGCGGTCGCCCCAATTTTCTTGTCCCCAAAAGTATAATAAAATGTCAGTCCATGCATTGGAAAACAAATAACCTGCTAAACAATCCCATAACTGACAAGGACTGGTAATCGGACGAGAGGCCGCGGTTTGCTGTATGATTAAGCTGTCCTAGCGGCTTTTCTCTCCCCGAGATAGATATGTAAATCCTACTCTTTACTCTCTATTGATATCTCTTCAGAATTTTCCATGCTTAAAGCAAGCCAGGGTCTGTAAAAGGGTAATCCCGTAGTATGTGTACCAGGTTAGGGCACAACTTCATTCTGATTTTCTTACTTTAGTTCTATTACGTGTTCGGGGACTGTTTGTGTCAGCCAAGTAAATATATCCCCTGCCCATAGGTTTCAGTCCCTTTACACAACTTGATGTCAAGTAGATGAACAAAATTAGTTACCTCCATTTTGGTACACATACTTCTGGAGCGCTTCCCAAAGACACACTTATTCATGTCTTAGCTAGCATGGTCAACTTCGTTACACGTCTCTCAAATCAAGTCAAACGATTTCCAATGACTCTGGCTTTGATTACAAGAAAACTGGTCGCCCTTTGACACATTTCTGGAGCGCCCTGTAAAAGCAATACTTGCATGGTGTTGATGCAACATTAATGCAAAGTTTAGTTGGTAGGCCCTATTAGCTTCGCTTCCTAATCGATTCGGATTCGCTTTCTTTTGAAATAGAAAAATCCAATTCTCAAACCAAAGTATTCCATTCCTTACAGAATCGACATTCATCTCGGTGAGACTCTGTACGAAAAGACGACCTCTGACCCCATGACAAAATCTCCTCACATTCGTCGAATGCACAAGGATTACGGAGTGAAACACTACACTGCTAAGAACCCTGAGATAAGGCAGTTAGTGCATGATTTCATGGCTGAGGTAGCAAAGGTCAAAGGTGATCAGGAACAAGGAAGTAAAAATAGATTTGAATTGATCGATATTTTATTTTTTATTTTTTGCTGTTTAATTAGGCAATGAATATAATTGCTTTGGTCGAATAGCAAAGATCAAAGGTTATCAGGAACAAAACTGATTAAAGATTGAATTTTTTTATTATTAACCTTTATTATGTTAAGGAGACAAATAGAGCTAAATGAAACTTGCATTCCTGGAATTTAGGTAAACTCCCAGCATTGTTTTCTTCTGAAGAAATCTAATTATCAAATTTCTGACGCTTTATTTAATTTTCCAGCTCCAGAAAGAAGATGTGACAATCGTGCTCTGGGGTCATTCACCTGGCACTTACATCAGCACGAGGGCGCTATCGCTTATGTATGACCAGGAAGATGGCACTCGACTCCCCGACTGTCTGATACTTGAAGCTTCGTTCACGAATACATACGATGCCGCTGACTGCTTTCCAGTGACTAAGGTGAGATTTTTGTTTCATTTAGGTACTCCCGTAGTATGTGAACCAAGATGGCGGACATCTGAACGTATTATGTGTACCAGGTTAGGATTAGGCAATAAATTCAGATACATATATTACTGGAATCACTTGGCTAGTCTTCGAACTCCGAAACCGAAAGGAAAATTGGAATAAAATTATGGCATAAGCCTAACCATGTATACATACTACGTTCTGATGTCCACCATCTTGGTTCACATACTGGGGAAGTACCTTAATTTCTATGATGTGATATAGTATTATACGATGCTTATTAACGCTTTTTCTTACTGTACAAAGCCCGGCATCAGTATCAACTGATATCTAACGATATGTAAGGATATACTATATATTAGAAAGGCTAAAATCTTTCCAGTTTGGCACTTGCTACACAGAGTTCTCTTAATTTCTGCTGCGCACTTAGCAACTAGTCGCTGATCACTCTCTGGGGACCTCTGTACTATACCATTGTGGTAGTGCGCCAAGACTCTGGAATTGTGTATTTATTACATCTCTCTTTCAGTATTTCTTTCTGCTCTATCCCTTCATGAGGTCTCAAGTTCACAAGAATATCAAACAATATGACATTGCGAGCTCAGGACTGAGAAGTATCTGCCGACAATAAAGGCTCCTGTTATGATTTTACATGCTAAAGATGATCAGAGGTTTGTAGGCAAGAATATTTGAAAATTATGGCTTGTCAGTTGGTGTATTGTTCTAAGCGTAAGTAACACGCTTACGTGGAGCCCTTCAAGAGTTCCCAGGTTCAAAACATGTTATTTTTGAGAATATGGCTTGCAGGACTGTTTGCTGTCAGAAGGTGATCCATGTATCTTTCGTCATCAAGTTCATGTCTGTGAAATCCACCATATAACATTTACCGGTATGGTATTACAGTACAGTGATTAATAATAGATTCAACTCCTCAACATAACAAATACCATATTTGACAGATTGATAAAAAACAAATGAATAACCGATTAGCAGCATGTCTAAGCATCTGGAAACAAATAACTGGCTAACTATACTCGTTCCCGACATGGACTGGTAATCGTGGTTCATCATATGATTAATAAGCTTTCTTAGCGGCTTTCTTCCCCCGAGATAAATATGTAAATCCCTCCTCCGCTTTCTATTGATATCTCTTCAGAATTTCCCATGCTTAAAGCAAGCCAGGGTTTGTAAAGTGACACTCTTGTATTGTGTGTACCAGGTTAGGCCATAATTTTATACCAATTTTTCTTATTTTAGTTCTATTACGAGTTCAGGAACTGTTTGTGTTAGCCAAGTGAATATAAATAACCCCCTGCCCATACGTTTGAGTCCCTTTACACACCTTGATGTAAAGTAGGCGAACAAAATTAGTTACCTCCGTTTTGGTACACACACTGCTGGAGTGTCCTGTAAAAGCTATATTTGCATGGTGTTGATGCACCATGAATGCAAAATCTAGTTGGAAGGCTTTATTAGCTACGTTTTCTGATCGAATTCGATTTCTTTTTAAATAGGAAATTCATTTCTTAAACCGAAATACTTTCTTCATTACAGAATAGACATTCGTCTCGGTGAGACTTTGTACAAGAAGACGACCTTTGACCCCACGACAAAATCTCCTTTCATTCGAATGCACGAGGATTACGGAGTGAAGCACTGGATTTAAGTTAATAAAGTTTGAATGTTTGCAGTGCTGTAGAACATTTCTTCACCCATTTAACGATTTATTACCAAAATTTTAAGAGATGATAGATGCCGCTATTCCAAAGTGGAAAAATGTCCTGTACCCTCACGTCCTAGTGTCACATACAATATGCACATTATTGGCATGGATTTACAGTGTTACATTTAGTAACTTGAGCAACACATAGAGGGGTAGTTCAGCTACTGCACCAGAAAATATTATGGGCTCCTACTGTACCATCGCAAAAATTTACAGCACAACCCAACGTACTGTTAGTGCATGGTGGATTTGCCGTCCTGTAGTGTCACACTATATTTTACTATATATTTTTTTATCTACTAAGTAAAATTGGTGTTGGTAAACTATTGTGCAATTTTCTACATATTCAATAAAGCAACTGATTGGACAATAAAACAAAATATGTACGGTAGCTGAAAATGTGAAAATATATTGAATTTAACAACATGCCAAATTTCTGGAATTGTCCTGTAGTGTCACTTGGAATAGCCCATAATTGCTTTGGTCAAGTGGCAAAGATCAAAGGTTATCAGGAACAAAACTGATTAAAGATTCAATTTTTTTATTATTAACCTTTATTATGTTAATGAGACAATTAGAGCTAAATTGAACTTGCATTCCTGGAATTTAGGTAAACTCCCAGCATTGTTTTCTTCTGAATCACTCGGAATAGGGTTGGGCGAACTGCGGCCCACGGGCCAGTTACGGCTAACCGAAGTGTTTCATCCGGCCCACTCGTGCCTATATCAATTATGACTATGGTTTTCATGACTATAATTTTGTGTTGAAAATTTCGATGAAAATATCGAATCATCGCCTAAAATATAGATCACGTATTATTTGCACCTGAATATAATTGTGCCACTTGGTACACTGGCTGTTTGTTGTACATTAGCTGTTATTCTTGTTATTTGCAAATGAACTGTTTTGAGTCTCCAGTGGCCAAATCTATTATTTGTAACTGGCCCACTGAGAAAATTAATTGCCCGCCCCTGACTCAGAATTTATATTGGTCAAAGTAACTTAATTAATCATAGATTACTTTTGGTACTCCCGAAGTATGTGAACCAAGATGGTGGACACCGGAACGTAGTATGTGTACCAGGTTAGGGTCAGGCCAAAATTTCAAGTACAAATGCTATGAGAGTCACTTGTCTAGTCCTCGAATTCGTAATAATACTAAAATAAGGAAAATTGGAATAAAATTATGGCCTAACCCTAACCTGGTACACATACTACGATCCGGTGACCGCCATTTTGGTTCACATACTTCGGGAGTACCCTATTTTCCTGTGAAGTTACAAAGGACATCTACTGATAACGCCAAGCATTATAACCGTTCATTCAACTCTTCCCAAACTTCAAGCTGTGTTTTTAGAAATTTTTTAGGTTTATTTCTATAATTAAAAGTATTCCAACATAACTTATTAATTGATTGTAGTTTATATTCTCATTCTTAACTGTGTATTTATTACTCAAGATGCCAATGATCAGAATTAGCAAGTCACAAATATGCTCGAAATAGAATCGAATCACTCAACCAAAGTAGAAAGAGTTCTGATAGAAGAGTTGCAAGTTTGCTCAAATCAAAGTCCCAAACTCTCAACTAAAAGCAGAAATAGCACTGATAAAAGAGTCCCTGTCACAAATATATCTGTAGATAGCGGTTCATGTGTAACTTGAAACAATATATCGCAGTACTATCAGAAAATAGATATTGCCATATTTCAATTACTGCCTTGTTGCCACATTTTGATATTCTTTTCTTATTATTGGGTCAAATTTTTTGGGCTACGTGAATTATTCCAACTCTTCACCCCATAACGACAAAAATTTGAGAACTTTTGGTTAAACATATGCTCTTTGTGCGACAGAGGTCATTTGTAACTCTTTTATCAGCACCTTGCTTCGAGCATACTTGTATAGAATTACTAAAATCATCTATTTTCATGGTCTAATATGAAGTATCATTCACAGTTATGCTATACTAAATGGTAAACTTCGTTACACGATTCTCAATGACTCTGGCTTTGATCACGAGAAACCTCGTTAACTTGGATGCTAAGTGTTATTAAATTTTTTTAGTTTTGAGTGAGGGCCTCACATTTGCTCAGAGAGGATTTCCCTTTACTTCTGAGTGAGTGCCCTTAACTTTGGTCAGAGATGAGTCTTCATTGTAGTTGACGTGTGTAACCATCCTTGAGCAAATTCACCTGATAAATGATAGGCTATGCTTTCACGTACTATTGAGCAAATTTATTTTGATTTTTATCGTAAGATGTATAATCCCCTATGCACTGTATATGTTTAAATATGCAATTGTTTTATCATAATTGTTGATTTGATTTCAATATTTTTATAACAATTCTACCTCGATGCATTTAATCCACTGAGACAAATGAACTTTGCATTACATTGCAGTATTATTTTCCGAGCTACTGATCTCATCCACCAAAAAAAAAACTCAAGGGTGTTTTTGAAAGACTAACTTCGGAGCTAGGTTTCAGGGATGCCCGAAATGAATCGAATACATTCGTGATTCGATTTAATAAATTCATGATTTTAGAAATAATTTAGAATATTTCACTTGTAAATATCTTCTTCAGCATGCATTATTTATGACGAACATAGCTCACAGAAAAATATAGTGAACTTCTGAAAGAATATAATGGAGAATACTTATTGAATCAATGTTCATCTCAGTTACTCTGCATAACCAAATTCAAATTATATGAATTACCAATTGCCTTGAAGAATTTATCCTGTGAAACAGACCCATTAAATTATTGGTGGTAATCGAAGTCAAAGTTCTTGTCCGTGTCGAGGGACAAGAATCTTCAATGAATAAACTACAAAAACCAAGAATGGATGAACATAAAACTATGCAAAGAAGTTGTTGGCTCAGAAAACTAAGTATGAAATTGAAGCAGGGTTTCTTTGCTGATGTGGGGCATGTAGATGTAACACTGTAGAAATATTGAATATAAGTATTCTAGGCAAGGGGTCGGCAACCTTTTTTAATTGACGAACTGGTAAAGCCTGGCGGACCCTCTTTATAAAGAAGAACTAAGCTTATGTAATAAATTACATGAGTAGAAAATTTTCTAAAACATAGGTGATGATATTCAGTGGGAGTTGCGTTTGTTTGCTTGTCATTCATTAACTGTTCCGAATACGGAGACATGGTGGACAGTGATACACGTAACGGTTTCTTACGTTCAGCCTACTTTAGTTGTCAATATTGAAAATCCGACCGCACATTAAGAAAAAGAGTATCGCAAGGACACTTTTTAACTCATTATCATTTGAAATTTCAATCAAGTGCTCTATATAAGTCTTATAAGACAATCTCATAATTCGAAGGCTTCGTTTGAGAGCTTAGTATGGCAAACTGGACAAATTTCATTACTGTGACTTACGGCTATAAATCCGTATTGAAAATATGGATTCTTTGCTGTAGATAACCCGCTATATCTACACTCCCAGTTACGTTAGATATTGGGACGCAGTCATTCAAAAATTGCATTATTGATGTTTATTAAGCCATACCTGATTTTATTACGAGATGTGCTAACTTTATGATCATAAAGTATAGATTTAGCAAAGTCTAAATAGCGAGTTGGGTGCTGTTTTGCCTATAACACAAGTGGGGATGGCTATACTAAATAATTCACCTATGTCATTGCTAGCATGATTATCCCGTGCTCTTGTCACATATATTTAAGCTACTAATTACCCATTAACGAAAGGATGAGATGTTTACACTTGTCGCAAGGGAGAAAAGGCGGCTTAATCATATAGCGTACCACAGCTTCTCGTCTGGATACATGTCCACTGTGTGCACATTGGTATGTCGGAAAAAAGTCCTGGTTCTTATTAAAAAAATGCCGCATTGTCAAATGTCGCCGACACCTTGCAGGATCCCCTATCATGACCCCGACAGTAGGAATCTTTCTGCTACACAAATTGGCGGTGGAAAGTTTAAACCCCGAAGGGGTTCGGCTGCTGAGTCACACCATAGTTCCCATCTTCTATTTGCTCTCTGCTAAACAATGAAGCTGACGACAATCACGCGAATAAAATAACAGACAAGCACAACTGCGAATGTGCATTGTGACGTTTATATAATATTACTTTCGTTCGCAACATGTAGAACTGATAAATTGCAGACTCTTCAGAGGTAGTTCAGGCGCTTGCGAAGCTTGATGTCAGTCAAGGGAGGTCCAGTTCCAATTACTAAGACGAATAATAACGGCTCGTCGTTGCTAATCGTTACGGTGCGTTTACACTGGATGCGTTGACTCTAGATTTAACTCTCACAGGAAAACAAGCTAGTCATAGAGTATATAATAACATTGAACAATCAGGGGAGACTTCAAGTATATTGCTCACATTGGATACATTTAAAATGCACCAATATCTCTAACCAGCAGTATGAAAACCTGCAATCTGAAGCTGATGATATGCCTTGGTGCTGTTTCTTTTGTGAAAAAGATTGCATACCATTCTCTTCTCTCTCTGATTCTGAATTATTAGAATCATGTACTTCCCTTCATTCAGAAAAAGCTGAAGCCCAGGCACTTACTAAAATTCTTGATCCTAAATATCTAAACCAAATGTTTCTTGAGTCAGCCAATACTGACAATGATGAATTCAACAACATAAACAGTGTTTTCATGTACAACAGCTCAAATCAGTATATTTGCTCTAGTGATGTCAATGATCTCAAATTCAATGATAGTTTTAAACTAAGTGGTTTCATGACTCTTTCACTCAATATCAGATCTTTAGCCTCTTTCAAAAACTACACAAAATTTGAAGCACTAGTGAATTCACTGAATTGTAAGCCTCATGTAATTGCTGTAAATGAAACATGGATTGTATCTGGTACAAATGGCCATTTCAATACATTGGATGGCTATGTTTTTATCACTAACAGTAGATTTCATCACCGAGGTGGTGGTGTTGGTCTCTACATTCGAAATGATTTGAAATACATTGTCCGCAAGGATATTACTATAATGTGTGAAAAGGTTTTCGAATCTATATTTATTGACAT